GAGGAGGAGGAGGAGGAGGAGGAGGAGGAGGAGGAGGAGGAGGAGGGAGGAGGAGGGAGGAGGAGGAGGAGGAGGAGGAGGAGGAGGAGGAGGGGGAGATGCCGCTGGCGGAGCAAGCCTGAGAGAGTCGCAACCGCTGGGAAGCTCATCGCGGCGGCGAGCGACGGGGGGGGAAGTGAGAAGGAGAAGGCCGTCTCCGAAGGCGGCGGGGCTTCCTAGAAGCCCTCGCGCCTTCCGAGAGGTTTTCCGCGTCTTCGGGGAAGGCTTAGAAAATTTCTCGGAAGGCCCGGGGGGCTTCCGAGCCTTCTGAGAAGGACTTCTCCCTCTCACTTCCCCCCCAATCTCGCCGCCGAACATGGTTCGCCTTGCTGCGCCAAGCGGAGATCCGGCCGTTGGTCTGGGGAGACCAGCGGAAGAAGTTCTGATTGTTCACGTCGACATCGTAGGCACGATGCAGGCGTTGTTCCTAACACCCCGCCAGCAGAACGTTGGCGCTTGTTCGCGATACCTCACAGCCAACCGCAGGCCCAGGCTCAGGAGATGGCCCACAGTGCTCACCCTCCTAATCTCGGTCTGGCGATGAAGGTCCAGATGTTGCCTTTCCGGCGCCCGCTTGCCCTTTTTCGGCGCGCGCCACATTCAGCCATACAGAACGCCATGGTCGCTGCACGCGCAGTAAGGGTAGGTCCTTCGCCCGCGGCCGAACTGGCATGTACAAGGCCTCAGCGAGCAACAGCGGCGGCGCAGTGGCGTCTCATCCTCCGTGTTATCCTTCTTGTTGAAGATCACTGCTGCTACATCCACCGACCTCCCTTCCCGACGCCATTTTCTGCTACAAGCCCTCCCGACGCTAAGACGGAGGGAGGGTTTAGTTTATATTGACTTGCCCACAGAAGGGTACGACCGCTTGTGGTGAAAAAGCTCATCACATCGGCACTTGTCTTCCTGCTCCTCCTCCTCCTCTCATACCGAGCCGCAACATGATCAACAATACCATCGACTTAGAGGGCAAGCGTTTGCACTGGATGGTCCAGCGCTACATGATTCGAACCGGGCTCGCGTTTTTCGGCGTACGAGCTGTTTCCCCATCTCTTCGTCATGCGGTTATGTTCTGGACCCTTGCCGCCATGGCCATCGCGGGCAACGTGCTTCAGGCCATCCGGGCCTGATCAGGATGTGTGGGTTGAGGTCAGTCACCCGGGCGTCTATGGAGTGGGTTTCTTCTGCAAGGGGGCATCAAACAAGACTGCCAACTCTCCGGGAGCCTGTTCGCCCTGTGCGTTGACACAATCACACGGATGCACGCCGCGCGCCTTCACCATGCATCTCCTCCCTCAGAGCATTTGCGGACAACCTGGGATTGGCATCGGGCGGCATCGTGTTCAGCCTGACCATCTCGCTGCATATCTGGGAGGTGGCTGGTTCTGCCACGGGTTGAACGCTTCGAAAATTCTCACATTACTATTCGGGCCTTTCTCGTCCTCCGAGCTCTTGCACGCCATGGCCGAGGCCGGCTTTCCGGACCTTGCCTTTCAAGTCAGTCGGAGTGGGGGAAATGCGGGAGTTCACCTTGGGCACGGGTGCCGGTCTGCTACGTGGGCTGAGCCGTTTGTAAAATACAGGGCCAGCTGTCACTTTGTTCGGAGCCTGGGCCTTGGGCTACAGAAGTCCCTTAGCAATGATGACATGCTCGTCGCAATTCCGCCCGTAGCGTCGACTAGCCTCGATTAGCGTTTGGGAGTCGATGAGATAGCGCCGATTTAGCGTCGGCTTGCGTCGATTAGCGTCGTTGTAGCGTCGATTAGCGTCGACTAGCGTCGATTAGCGTCGATTCGCAAAAGCCGACAAGATGGCATGGGAGGCTCCAGCGAGTTGCCACCGAACGCTTCGGATTGAGCGTGACATGTTGCAGGTTGTGACTTCTGCCCCGCGATTCGCCCTCCCTTCCCCCTTCATCTGCTCCCTCCGCTCCCTTGGCCTTTCCCTCCAGAGCAGGTGCCTGGAGCACGCGGGTCGTGCTGCTCTGTTCCATGCCGCCGAGCATTCTAAGGTATTCTTTTCCCGGATAGCTCCGTTAGCTGTAGGGTTGCCGGCACCGCAAGGTAGCCAGCATTGCAGAGTAGCTCCGGAGCTCGTTCTGGCTTCTGTGAAAAATCCCTGGCGGGGCCGACCTGAAGCTGCAGCGTGTCCAGCAGGGCTTTTCTAAGCGTTTCCCAATACGTCTGCCCAGAAGCTCTCCACAATCTCCTTCGGAAGCTCATTCCAGGAGCTTACAGGGCTCCTTCGAGAAGCCTTTGGACGGCCTTCTGGTGCTCCGCTATCTGGGTTTGGGATTTCACAAGGTGACATCAAGGCCCTCCTCGAACAGTTTGCCTCCGACGACTGTGTCATTCCATGGAAATTTCAGCCCCTATGGCGGGAATCGCATTTTCGACATATGCTCGAAAATTGGCATGCCCTTTCTTCTCTGCCGGACCTCTCTCCTCCCTCCTCCAACCGT